AATGATATTGTTTGATAATTTCCACATTCTGTTGGGTCACCTTTTTTGGAATTGGAACAAATATTGATCTTTTCCAGTCAGTTGGCCAGCTGGCAATTCTAAGAATTTAAATATATGCATGGATCTAAATATTGACCTAGCAAAAGATAAATTGCATTAGGAAAATCTGCTGTCAAGTACCTCTCTTTATTGCTAAAAAACAAGAATGTCAGTCTAGAGACTAAAGTGCACTTGATCTAGGACATGGTATTCACAATTACTTGCTATCCATCTGATAGCTGGACAATGAACAAGGATGACAGAAGAAGAATGGATGCCTTTGATTTTTGGTGCTGGAGAAGATTACTGAACATACTGTGGATATATGTGGATTGCCAAAAGAACTAATAGGTCTGTCCTAGAGAGGGTGAAACCAAGCCGCTTCTTGGAGGCAAGGATTTTGGAGCTGTGTTTCACATTGTTTGGGCATGTAGCCAGGGGGGACCAATCTTTGGAGAAGTTTATTATGCTTGGAAGAGTGGAAGTACAGTGGAGGAGAGGAAGACTCCAGATGACATGGATTGACACAGTAACTGGGGTAATGAGGGTAGATGTGTCAAGACAGTGAGATTGGCTCAGGATAGAGCAGAGTTCAGAGCTATTGTGCAGAAGGTCACTATGAGTCATAGTCAACTTGAGAGCACGTAACAACAACATAGCTATTATTTCAAAGCCAATGTCATAAATTCCTGAATAAAGCTCTAATGAAGTATTATTGTTTCTATTCTATATGTTGGATCTAGCATCAGAGTCTTATTTATATAACATTTATATTTAGCACCTCAAGCTTTCCTAACCAAGTTGTCAGTAGCTTGAAGATAAGGACTTGTATTCACACCTAAATCAAATACACATATTTTTTAAGATACATTAAATAGAATCAACATGGGTCTCCTGGGGGAAACTCGGGCTTTGCTAGTGCTCACCAAAGTCAATCATGTAACCTGTCCAACTTCTTTTTTTCCTATGAATCAACTCATTGCCATTGAACCAGAACTCTTTCATATTTGACTCTCCACTGGGTTTCTGAGGCTGTAAATTACATGGGAGGAGACTGTCTATGTTTCTCTCAAAGATGTGAATGCAAACCCGCCAAGAGGGTCAGCCTGTGGCTTAGTAGTTGAGTAGTGGAACTAAAAAAGATTTACCTTATTGAGATTCTTTAATGAAGACATGACACAGCCACAAAGCATAATTTCTTGGATGTAATGAGTGTACAATAAATTGTTACCTTTTCAGCTGACAGTCTATCTTATACCTTGGCCATATTTTATACTTTTAAAACCTTTAGAACAAGGTTCTAAAAACTGACCTCAAAGTTTAAGAGAGGAAATATAAATCGACTATGAGAGACTATTAAGAATCCTAGAGCTCAGGGCCTACTCCGTAGGGAATCATACTGCTAACCGAAAGGGGGTGCCTTTCTGGAAGTTCAAACCCACCAGTTGCTCCTCAGTGGAAAGATGGCAATTATTCCTGTCTGATTTACAGCTTCTTGAACACACTCGAGGGACAGCTGACTTGATAGCAGTGAATGAAGGAGTGAGTGAATACTGTAAGATCAAGTAGTCAAGAAATAGCAAGGCATCACCTAGAGGTAACACCCATTTATAAGGGAGTTCTCATGGCCTAGTGGCAAGAAGTTGCACTGCAATCATGGAGACATGGGGTTTGAGGCCACCAGTTGCTCCAGAGGCCCGTGCAATTAACTGCCTCTGAAAGCTCACCTGAGGGCCAGCTATGGGTCGGTTCCAACTCTACCATATACAACAACAACAACCCACTTATAGATGCAAAGGAGCACAGAGTAACAGTGCAGTTTCTGGGTTTATTTGCTTAGACAGTTTCTACTAACTGATGAGTATAAACCTTCGCTTCATCCGTGCTAAAAAGACTGGGCAGAAAAATATGCAATAAGTCCCTGATTTTTGGAAGACAATAAATGGCTGTATGCAGGCATAGCCAGGAGCTATTTCAGAATCAATTCCAGCCCAATACAAATAAGCAAATACTACAATAAAGCAAGTCGCTTAACTTTTTTTTTTGTTTCCAATTTATTTTTTTGGTTTATAATGTATATAAAAGTTGTATGTACACTATGGTCTATTCTAATAATGTTGTAATGTGCTTTGAGTCAGAATAGACTCCAGCAGGTTTTCAGAGGGCACATCACATGGGATGAAACGGCCCATCTTTCCCCCAAGGAGAATCTAGTGGATTTGAACTGATGGTCTTTCAGTTATAAGTACAACTACTTACCCACTCAGCCACCAGAACTTCATAGCAGTATCTTAGAGTTTAAATACTCTGAGAATTACCATCATATGACACTGAGACAGGACTAAACACATGCTGTTAAAACATGGCACCAACACACATGTTTGACGCAGTATTCCCACAGATTTTCAACCTTTAAAAATCAGTGTCTAAAACTGCAATAAAGTGAAGTGCAATCAAACAAGGCATGCTTAAAGATGAGATGTGCATAAAAACCAAATACATGGATTAATGATAATTTCCCAAAGTATTGTATCCAAGAGTTTTAAAGACGATTGCACAAAATCAGGAAAGACTTAACAGGAAAGTTAGCTATAAGCCAGGCACACAGCAAATATGGAATAGAAGGATGAAATTGAGGAGGCAATTTTAAACTTGGCCCCAACATCCACAAAACAAGAACGCCGGCAAACAGCAAACAAAGTGACAGAGGAAGTATTTGTTTCAAGCCTCTCAAGTAAGGATTAATTTGTATTTCACTCAGTGGTTTTCATCAACTTGGAAGTGAATAAATCTTCATTTTGCTTAATCAGACAAGACTATAATTTAAACTCTTGACTTTATGGTGACTTAGTGTCATTTCTGAAGACTGTCTTACTAAAGATTATCTGAGGGGAGGTACTATCTCTTTAGGTCAAAAGATACATGTTCCTTTTTCTTTTCACTAAGTAGAAAACATATTCTAAAATATATAATAAACTCTGAAAATAATCCAAGCATTCATCATTAGGGTACAGGTTAAATATACACTTTTAGAATGAAATATATTTATAAAAAGAAATGAGAAACATTTCCACACACTATCATGGAGTGATGTACTGTTAGCTCAAAACTATTAAGGTGGAAAAAAGTTTTTTAATGGAGTACTGCTTATCCAGGAATAGAAGAGTAAACTATTAAAAAAAAAGTTACTGTAAGGAAAAGGAAGGTAACTAAAGGACAGAATCTAGACTTTAGTAAAACTTGATTTTTATTTGACTTTTAAACCGTATAAATATTGAAAAGGCTAATTATGTTTCAAAAAAGCAACCTCTCTAAACTAAGAATAGAATGAAATAAACTAGCCCAACCAGGTATGCAGTCAGTAAAACCACAGAGAGCCACTTGGTGGCTTAATCCCAGAGCATCCAGCAACCTAAACAGCAACCTTACTGTGTATTACTTTTGAGATATATTCATTGTTTTCCCAAAGATTCTGTGCATTAATGAATGAATAAGCAAGTTATTATGTGATACTCTAATTATGGCGTCCGCCTTCTTGAAAAACAAGAGTTTGGGCATGGAAGAAGGTTATATTTCAGTCTTCTGAAGAGGCATCAAAGGAAGGATCAACTCAAAGGAAGAGTACTTAGTGGTCTGATTATAATCACAAAATTACATTCTTGTAAAAAAGTATCATTTTCTGAGGGAAAAAATGGACAATTCTAAGTTTGGAGGAGAAAATACTCAAGATAATTATGGAGAATTTTATCTATGATCATGCAAAATGTATCTAAATTCTTAAGTGAATTTATTATTTTTATACAAACAAATCAACATTATTGTTTACTGATAAAGGTTGCAAAGGATAAAAATAATTCTGAAAATTGGTAAATAAAACAGAAGAATTAAATTTTTAGTTTTCTTTCTTAGTAAATTAAAAGTCAGAAATTTCATAAATTAAGTCAAGAGATCATAAATTATCAAAAGCTTTTCTAAAAAGCGGTCCAACTAAAAAATTAAAGAGAGGGAAAAATGGAGTAGCACTATTTTGTAACAATTAAGAAATCAATGGATCAGCCTTAATAAAAAGCAATCACTAGCATTACAAGAGAGAAAGAAAACTAGATATTATACATCTTCTGTAGAATACATCATTACCTCATATAAAGTAGTTTTTTGAGATACAACCTTTTTTTAAAAAAAATATCATATAGTTTGGTAATATCTGATAAAGTCCATATAGAATCAGTTAAGAAATAGATAATCACATTAAGAATGGAATTATCCTGATTCTTATACGGTTCATAAGCATGATGATTGGGTGTTCATACTACAGTATGACATGTGCCACTCTTTAAACCTTGTTACAATATAGACATTATCCATCTGACATTAAAAGAAAAAAGAATGGAATTATCCAGACTGAAAATATGCTCTAAAATGTAACAACCTGATTTCATAACAAATAAATTTTAATGGAAAAAGTAAGTGGAAGCACAAAACAGAATAGATACATAGAAAAAGGAAAGGGTGAGGAATATAAAAAACCAGTTAAATTGCTCTGTGTGAAAGTCGCATAGGTGTTTGGTATACTATTTTTTCAACATACCGATCTGCTTGATGTAACTCTTGCTAAATACCGTGAAGTTGACTAAACTCTCCTCCACTCTTGAACAACAGAACAAAACCTTGTCTTATTCTGTACCATCTGCACAATCTCTGCCACACTCCTTTTGACAGTCCCTCTGTTAATCTTCTTTTTAAGGATTGTCCCCTCTTTTGCTCAGTCCTCTACCATTCCAAGAAAGGTTATCTTTTCCTTCCAAAGACTGGCTCCTTCTTACAACAGAGCCCAAAGTACTACAAACAAAATTTCACCAAGCTTGTCCTTTCAGCCTTATTACTAAAGTTTCCAAATAAAAAGCTGAAGAAAAATATTATATACTTAATGTCTATTAACATCTTGATAGTGAGTTACATACAAGTAACTGGGCTTCATCTCCTTTGCTCTTCAATGCCCGGTCTCTTGAGCACTCTCGCTGATTGACAGCTTGCTCCGCAAATGAAACCTCCAAGTTGATGTCTGTTACAGAAGCAGGCGGTTCCTCAGGCACCAGTGGTCCCAGCTCCTTTGTATCAACAGCAAGGCTAGACGCTTGATCTAGAAAAAAGAGACGCCAGATTCCTATATGGTTTATGTCTCTCTTTCACTTATAACTTGTGAATTATGTAAAAACCTACAGGAAGAGTACTATTATCTCTGGCCTTTAGTTGTTTAGGGGAATTGTCAAGTCAATACGAGCTCATCACAACCTCATGAGGAAGGAAAGAACGTCTCCATACGTTTTTCATTGTGGTTATCTGTACAGGAGCAGATTACCAGATCTCCTTCCTATCAAGCTACTGAGCAAATTTAAACCACCAACTTTTTTTTTTCTCTTCTTTTTTTTTTACCAGTTTGTTTACAAAATTCAAATACAAATATTAACAAATTCTTTCAATTTCCCTCCCCCCCATCAAATTGTACAACCCAGTGATTAATCCCCTCTTCCCCCTGTACATTACATCCACATCCCTCTGCTTCCAGCCTCTCCCACCCTCCTGGATCCTCATTCTCATTCTACAATAATAGTTTTTCACAATATTTAGGCTTATGGGACTGAGTTAGTTCACTCAGCATAATGCTCTCCAGTTCCTCCCAAGTTAGGTAGTAATTTACAAAGTTATTGTTCCTTCCAGCTGCATAGTAGGTATTCCATTGTGTAAATGTACCATAATCTCTCAATCCATTTGCTTATGGTTGGACATTTGGGCTGTTTCCATGTTCCTGTGATTGCGAAGAATCCTGCTATGAATATTGGTGTACAAATCTCAGTCTGTGCCTCAGTTCTCATATTCTCAGGGTATATTCCAAGTAGTGGAATAGCTGGGTTATACAGAATTTCTATGTTCAGCTTTTTGAGGAAGCGCCAAACTGCCTTCCAGAATGGTTGCACCATTTTATAATGCTACCAACAATATATAAGAGTTCCTTTCTCGCCACATCCTCTCCAATATCTATTACTTGCTGCCCTGTTAAACTTTGCCACTCTTACTGGAGTGTAAACCACCCACTTTTGAGGCCAAAAGCTTAACCATTACATCAGGGCTTCCTGGAAAATAATTTCCTTTATTTTAATCTCCCTCTCTCACTGTCACTGAGTTAGAATCCACTAATAGCTGATCCTCCAGCAGGTTCTCAGAGGCTATAAATCACACTGCCAGAGTTTACCCTTCTTTCTCCCATGGAGTAGCTGGTGGATTCAAACCAGCTCCTTTTAGGTTGGCAGTGCAACTCCTTATTCACTAGGAATCAGTATTTATTTTAATAGAAAAACATATATTCACAGAAACTGACAAGAGCAGAAGGGGAGATGGTGAACTGATAACTCTGTCACAGAAACTTTGAAATCATAATTCTTAAAACTCCCATTGCAAAACAGGACATCAAATCCTTAAGGAAACACCTTACAGAGAATAAGTACATTTAATTTTGTTCTTCTGCTTAATATGAAGGCATAAAAGGGAGAGTGAAGGTCAACTGTAATTAAATATAATTAAAAATAATGTTAGGTCATTTCATTTCCTCACATTTAAACAGAGTACAGTTCTGTTAAGGAATGCTAGCTATATTTCATGTTGAAAATACCAAAATAAGATCTAGAGCCAAAAAATATTGCTGTGGGAATCTGATCTGGAGGTACCTGGTACAGATTTTACATCAGATTTGATATTTTAAAAAGTTTCACATATTTTTATAATGATAATCACAGTAAAACAAATTTCACAAATTTTTGTCAACATTTGAAGATTAAAACAAGTTGAGGTTGGTTTGGTGGTTGTAGTTGTTCAAGGGGGGAAAAAACCATACATTCAAAACACCATGTTGAAAATTCTTCTGAATTCTACTATTTTTTTAAAGTAACTCTAATTTTTAAAACTCGAGAGTCAATCACAGGGAAAACTGAAAACACCATTAATTCATAGTTAGAAGTTCTGAGTTATAGACAAACTTCCATGGACCATTTAACTCCCTCATAACAGGGTGACAGAAGGTAAAGAGCCCAGGTTTGTGATGGGCAGGACTTCCAATACTACTGTCTTTTGAATAATATCAGCTGAGAGTAATTTACATCAAAACCAAATGTCTTTTTTCTAATCAAAATATAACTCAGAAATAACTGTAAATCTAATCTTACTCCATCTAATTTGATCAGTAAGTAGGGTATTCAAGTTTGCTTCATGGGCATGCCCACACTCAAAAAGGTCAATGATTGGTTTAAGGAGCGTGCATTTCCAATCAGCAATGGACTCTGCAAATTATGTAGCTGGCCCTAGTGGCATCTCCATATTAAGAAAGTAAACTGCATGTACCTACATCAGTTCCAAATATAAGAATAAATTTGAACATCCTTAATATCTCAAGCACAATCCCTGGCCAATGTACCTAATAGTCAACACCATTTGTCAGGGAAAGGTTGCTACTTTGCTATGATGTTGAACAGATTTCTAGACTTTGTAACTTCTACACTAAGTCTAGAAATATAGGACGGGCACTCTATAAAAAAAATTAGCCAAGAGAAACTTAAAGATCACCGAGTACGTTCCCATTATACATGAATTTGCCAAGAGCTAGAACTAGTTCATGGCATATACACAATAATGTTGTGTTTGTTAGATGCTTTTGCTGTGGTTTCAATTCATAACAGGCCTATCTAATGGTTTCAATTCCTAAAAGGCCTATCTCTCTCTCTAACTATCTATCTATTATCTATCTATCTATTATCTATCTATCTATTACCTATCTATCTATCTATCTATCTATCTATCTATCTATCTATCAGAATGAAACTCTAGCCAGTCCTGTGCCATCCTTACTATTGTTGCTATGTTTGTATCCATTATTGCAACTAGGTATCATTCTATCTCATTATGAGACCCTTGTCTGAGATGTCATTGTCAATTCTTCCCCACCCCCAACCCCGATCTGTAGTCTTCCTTTTCTCTCTTTAGGAAAAAACTTTTTGATGTATACAGGGACTTAATCTTTAGAAAGTCATCAATTGTATTCTCTCCTGGTTGTGCATTTCTGGTTATATTTACAAACCTATTAACAATAGGCTCTGGTAGCCTAGTGGTAAGAGTATGCACTGAAATCCTGAAGGCATAGGGTTCTAATCTACCAGCTGCTCCATGGGAGAAGGATGGGCAATCTCCTTCGGTGCTATTAACTGCCTCTGAAAACCTGCAGAGGGTCAGCTATGGGTTGGTTCTGGCTTGCTAGTACAAAACAATCATTTATACTGTAGGCTAGGGCTTCTAAATTTGGTTCCCTTTTGTCTCTTATGATATTTATCATTTGGGGATTTACTCTTAGGTCTCAGTTCCACATGGAATTGATATTTGTGTTTGGTGTGAGATATGGATCCTGTTTCAGCTTTCTGCAGGTAGATGCTAGCACTATTTATCGACATGGTTGTCATTTCACCATTTAATAAGTTTATTTCCTTGTTGAATATTGAAATTGACTGTAAGTAGATGGGTTAATTTCTGAGTTCTGGACAAAGACATGGTAAAACTGTCACTATATGAAGACTATGTAACAGTGTACTCAGAAAATCCCAAAGATTCAACAGAAAATGTGTTAGACTTGGTAGACAAATTTAGTTAAGTGGCAGAATTAAAAATCAATATGCAAAAATCAGTGGGCTTTCTTCATAGCAACAAAGAAAACATGGAAAAGAAAGCGAAGAAAACAGTGTTATTTAAAATAACCAATTATAAACTAGAGACACAAATGATATTTATAAGGAAAATCGTAAATTACTACTGCAAGAAACAATAAGAGACCTAACTTAATGGGAAAATATGGACTGTTCATGGATAAGACTCTACATAGTGAAAATGACCATCCTTCTGAAAGAAATCTACATGTTTAATGTAATCCCAATACAGATACCAAATTCATTTTTCAAAGAGGTAGAAAAGGCAATTGGCAAGTTTATATGTAAAAGAAAGAGACCTGAATAAGCAAAGAACTTCTGAAATACAAGAATGAAGAGGGAGACATAGCACTCCCTGATCTCAAAACCTACTACACAGCTGTAATAACCAAACAGCATGGTACTGGTATGAATACAGGCACATAGACTAACGGAATGGAATCAAAAACTCAGTTACAATTTGAACTTGAAAATGAGCAATTAATGATTGGTCCCTCAGTCTGTCCTGGCTCTGTTCTAATTGATTAAATTTGCTTTTCCATCATGTATTTCCATACATGGAGTAAAGTTGATAATTGGATTTTCCACCTGATGAAACTTATTCATTTAATCACTATTTACACTGTTGAAAAGGATATTTCCAATGAATAGGCTGTTGGTCTTATGAAATTCTATCATATAATCTTGGGCATATGCCTAAGCTAAGTTTCAAGTATTAATCTTTCTTCTTTATTTTCAACTTTTATATTCTAATCATTGGTAATTCTCAATGTATCATGAATGCATGTTTGGACAATATTATTATTTAAAAAAATTTTTGCTATGCATGTCATATCTATGTCTTTAACAGCTTTTAAAAATTATAATTCCTACACACTTTTATGCTTTGTTAGAAAAGTGTCAACAGTTTCAGTTGTCTTTATTATGCTGTTTGTGTTTTAAGTACTTCAGTTTCCTAGGAAACCATTTAAGGTGGAGGACCTCTTATTAGCCATTTTCTTAAATTAGAAGCTGTTTTTTCCCAGCAGTTGAGTGTCTATGGACATGACTCTAAAGTCACTTTCTATTTTCTTTGCAACATCCATCCAAACTATAATAAATTCCACAACCACCTCTAAACAATTGTGCTAAATGGGCAAAGGATTAAGTCAGAATATTTTTAAGACTCAAAATTTCCATCAAAATTATAGCAAATATTTTTAATATTGGCAGATATTTCAATAATGTACACTTTGTTATTTTCATAATAGATGAGTGAATGAATGAAAATAACAAAAAATATGCCAAATAAGAGCGCAATAGTTCTATAAACCAGGTTAACAATTAATTGTTTCTGTGAGGTGTAATAGAGTCCATTGTAATTCAGAGAAATTTTATGTACAACAGACTGGAACATTGC